TATCAAGTGGCTCGTCAAGAGATTCTGGATTTGGCGTATTTGGGAAATTTAGTCCCTCATCCCTACGGATCCTAGATCAGGGGAACCAAAAGCAGACAGCAGCAGAGAACTATTTCTTGCAGTTTGCACCAAACACAAGTAACGAAAGGTTTGTAAATGCGTTTGCTGAACTCTGGAGGTTATATTAAACAATGTCCCTAAAATTTTTGAGTACAGTTGAACTTGCTTAAGTCAAATCCAAAATGCCATTGAAATATTGTTTGACTTAGATAAAATTTGACTTACAGATTGTTAATTAATGGAAAACACAACAATTTGGCATGTAAAATAAGATCGACTTAGAAATTATTTGACTTAGGCACAGTCGACTTAGGCAAGTTTAACTGTATACTGCGCTATGCTGTGATAGTGGAATCATATCGTATCCTAGGCACAATGCAATAGGCATAAAAAGGATAGAATGAAAATGTACAGATGGAAATATATTTCCATGATGAGTGACGAAATGGAGTAAATAAAAACCAATGTCACATGATACAAATTCCACCAATTAAATTACAGGGATCTATTTAAGTGTGTTATAAAATGTGTTAAGTGGAATATTTCTGTGAAATGGAATGTGTTGAGTTTCATTTCATTTGGCAGGCATGCCAAGTACAGTGTGAATGTAGTTTCATCAGGTTGGTAATTGGTCCTAAGATTTGACAGATGACTAATGACTGATAGCACTTTGTCCGATAATTGATTATATTTACTCCACGCCCCAAGTCCTCTTAAAGTGACTTAGTGCATCAGATTTTTTAAATCAGGCCCCTAAATGTTTGTTGACCCTGACTTAGCTGGAAGGGTCACCAGGTATAAAAATTTAAAAAAAGGAAAAGTATAATCATAATCTTCATCAACATAATTTTCATTAGTATTATAGTATTATTTATTATTTGCTCCAGTCTACATTACCATTATGTGGCACAGTGGTGAAGCCGTAGGCTTCCAGGTAAATGATCAGGGGTCAATTCAAAACCTGATCACTTGTTTAATGGTGTTTTTTGACGAGGAAATTGATTCATGTTGTCTCTTTCTACCTAGTAGTTGAATAATTGACAGATTACAAATTTAGAGACTTAAGCCAGGTAGTCACAGAGTCGTGCGATGGTCATACAACCATCTCACGACGAATCCAACTCTGCTCCCTGTGAACGTTGGACGACGCGACACCGTCTGCTGATTGTCGATGGCAGTCTGAACGAATCGTCATTAAAAACAATACGTTGCGCGTGCGTAGTCGCACTGCGTTCTTCATATAATCGTGACGACTGGTGGGCACGGTGAGAGCCCGGCTTTAGAGAGAGGAGAATTCATCGTATCTTCACATTATGCTGTTTTTTTCTTTGTGTTTCTGTTATTAGCACGGAAGAGAATACCGAAAACCCCAAGAGTGTCAGCGGTTCAGGGTCAAGCTTTGTTTTTGGTCAAAACTTGACTGACAGAGTAACTGTAAGTTGAGAAAAAAAACATAACATAAAAAAACATATTAGCGGGTACTGTAGACAGGGCTGTATCCAAGATTGTCATTTGGGGAGGGGTGCGTAAAGATGGAGCAAATGGGATGCCTAGAAGCAAAGTCAAGAAGACTAAGCCAGCTTCAATAATTTAATGACTACTGGCAAATTTAGCGCCCAAATAGTGTCCTAGCATCAAATTGTTATTTAAAATGTAAAGATTTTACATTTTATTACAATTTTAAAATTACTATTATATGTAATATAAATATGTTATATATATATATATATAATTTTTGTAACACTTTCTTTATATTTCTTTAGAGTCCATCCAAACAAGAAGGTGAATTGAAGTCCGCCAGTGAATACGTATTTGGTGCAAACATTGATGATAGGGTTAAAGTAAGCAATTCTCACTGCGTATTCATTTGTTCGCTAATTACATTAAGTCTAGAATGAGGACGAGATTGATTTGCAGTAGAAAGTAGAATGCATGTTGATGACAGTCACGGTTAATAAGTGAATTCGTTCCAAGTTCTTGCTATAAGTTCTCAATTACAAGCCCTTAATATTCAAATATTGGATCATTGAGGAAAACTAATATTTTTAATCAATGTTTTGTTCTATTTTTTCCAATTCTGTTATTGTCAATTATATGTTTTTATTTACATCTTACGTTTTTATTTATTTTTTTCTTTGCAGCGTGAAGATTCAGTGGAATCAGTAGATGGGAAAGGTCAGTAATTTGGAGGACAGGAAGTTCATTTATGACCTTTGCCCTAAGTCAAAGTTCTAATGTGGCTATATGTTATTGATGAGGAATATGTTATATTATGCAATTTAGTTCTGTCTGTCAATTACGATAGGTCCATTCTCTCTCAGTGTTTTCCTTCAAAAGCTTTTATGCAGCAGTAACCTCATCATATGACCGGCGATGTTGGTACATTCACGTGATAATAGGGAGCTTTCGATTTTTTGGACGACGCGACGCTAGAACGGAATCACTCATGCGTGACCGTCCTACCTGGCGTCCTACGTTCTCTGCATACGTAGATTTGGCCAAATTGCATTCTAGAATCTGCTCGACAAGGTGACCCTAACGTTCTCGCATGCGCAGATGACTTTTAGTGGCGTCATTACGTTCTACCTCCTACCGTCGTCGTGCAATCGAAAGCTCCTTAATAGCTATTTTATAGGGGCGGTAGCTTAAGTAACTACAGTCGCAGTTCATAATCATTCATTAACTAGATTTTCCCTTACTGATACGCTTCTACAGGTACAACCCTTGCTGAAAGTGCCAGCGCTTATGAAGAAGCAAGGAAGAACCAGCAACTGAAATTAGATGAAGTACCAAAAGTAAATGGTGAAGAGGATGAAGAAAATGTTTTACAGGTAAACTAAAAACAATACTGTTCATTTGTTTCCCTCCATATCCAACAGCAAAACTGATGAGAATATTTAAATCTGGACATATACGATCTGTATCAGATATTTTATCTGTCAGGTTTAACAACGTTTGATCAAACATTTTCTGATGAAGTATAGTATGATCCCGGCTTCAAGCATAGTGGTTGGGACTTTGCTTTAGATTGAAGTAACACAATTTGTTTGTTCAGATATTTCTAAAATAAATATGCAAGAACGAGGCGTGTTCTAACAGTTTTGGCAGGGAACAAACATTAGTGTTTGCCTGGTTGATGAATATCACATTTGTATTAATGTGCTCTTGCATGGCTGTACATTTGTTTATTTAGCAAGACTACTAATAAGCATAATACTTACTAGTGATTTAATTCTGTTTTAATAATGAATTACACCAAAAACATTTATTATTTTTATTTATTAAAAAATGATAATGATGATGATAATGAATTAGATATTATTTGTGTAATTAACAAGTTTAAATAAAAGTGGTAATGATGAGTATTTAAAATACTACATACAGCATTGAATTTCCACTTTTTGTTTACAGGCCCAGTGTAAGCTATATCTATTTGATAGCAGTACACAATCATGGCTCGAAAAGGGGCGTGGCCTGCTACGTTTAAATGACAAGACACAAATGTATGGCTCACATTTCCACTCAAGGCTAGGTAAGTTCTAATTAGAAATTTGAAAATCAAAGTGAATAATCAAAGGCCCTGTCCAAAATTTCTTTGACAACAAAGTGCTGTATACCCAAATATAGTCATGATGTGCCTATATATGGTCATGATGACATCACATCATGACTATATTTAGGCATGTCACATGTTTTTATCAAATAAAATTTGATAGTCTGAACGCCCAGTTTTTCCTGACTGTATTTGACCTAACTGTCTACGCAAGTCATTAATGCATTGTATCCACTCCTGTATATTATGACAAATGTAACAAACTTTGAACTTTAAGGTCATTCATAGAGGTCTGTCTGCTACATGGGACAATAGGAAATGTTGTGTCTTTTTGGAAGCTGATAAACGTTTTTAATATTTTAAACGAACATTTTAAATGTTTAAAAAAATTCATCGGTTTTCAATTAGGTATCAGATATGAACATTTTAAACACGTGAACATTTTAAACAAGTAAGCATTTTAAAGTTAATTCATTTTTTAAAGTTTTACTACTCGAATTATATATTTTACATTCTTTATTATTCTAGTTGAAATTTTCCTGGCTGGAAAATCATAATTTAAATTGTGATTATGCTAAATACTGTTTGTTTCTTTATGATAATATTTATTTATTATAGTGATGCGAACACAAGGTAGTTTACGAGTTATTCTCAATACAAAAGTTTGGGCAAATATGACGGTGGATAAAGCCAACCCAAAGAGCATCAGAGTTACAGCAATGGATTCAGAGAGCAAGATCAGAGTATTTCTCATTGTGGTCAGTATATTCAAAAGAGTGTTATAGATCCTGGTGACAGTGATAATGACAATGACAACAACGATGGTGACAGTGGGGTTTATGGTGATACTAGTGATGATGATAGTGGTGGTGGTGGTTGGGATGATGCTGGGGGTTGTGAAATGTAATGACGTTGGTGGTAATAATGATAATGCTGTTGGCTGTTGTGGTGTTAATGGTGATCCTGTTTGTTATGGTGATGCTGGTGGTTTTATTGTGTGGTGATGGTGCTGGTGGTTATGGTCATGATGGTGGTGATGGTGTAATGATGGTGGTGGTTATAGTGATGCTTGGGGATGGATGTGTGGTGATTTTAGGAGTGGTTATAGTGCTAGTAGTTGTGATGCTGGTGTGTTGTAGTTGTGGTGATGTTGGTGGTTGTGGTAATAGTGATAGTTGTGGTAATAGTGATAGTTGTGGTAATGGTGGTGGTTGAGAGGTGATGTTGGTTATGCTTGTGGTTGGGTGGTTCAATGATGTTGGTGGTGGTTATGGTGATGCTTGGTTGGATGGTGTGGTGATTTTAGTAGTAGTTATGCTGGTAGTAGTTGTGAAGCTGGTGGCTGTGGTTCTGGTGGTGGTGGTGGTTGTGGTGGTAGTGCAGGTATGTTGGTTGTTGGGTTCTGTGGGGATGGTGGTTGTTGGGTTCTGTGGGGATGGTGGTAGTGATGGTGATGATGCTACTGGTTGTGTTGCTATGTTGAATGTGATGACTGATGATGCTGATATTTGGGTGGTGTAGTAATATGTTGGTTGTGGTGATAGTGGTGATCTTTGTGGCTGTAATGGTGTTGATGATGGTTGGTGTTGCAACACTGATGGTTATGGTCTAATCTATAATTATAGCTCATGATTTTGTTTGTCAAACAGACGGAACCCAATCATGCTGATCAAATCTACACGGCCATTGATCATCGTGTGCAAGCATTAAGGTATGCAGAAATAAAAAAAAAACAAGAGCAAGAAACAGCAAAGAATGAGAAACAACCGCAGGAGGAAACTACCGAGGAAAAGGGAGAACCAGAAGAAAAACCTCACTCTGATGCAGGTAATGCAAATACATCTACACAATACACAATGGAATAACCCATTAAATATTCATTTCGCATAAACTGTGAGCTGTACAAAGTCTATGTTGAATCTCATAATTTTTTATTGCTATTTCGGCTGCTCAAATTGTAGTTCAATCGGTTTTGATTAATTGCTGATTGTTAAACATTTCTTTTTATTTATTAATTTTTTAAGGTAACAGTGATGAAAAAGAAAGCCGAGGCAGTGATGAAAGCAGTCCGTCTCCCCCTGAGCCACCAGAATAAAACCTCCATTCCCACCGACCAGCCAAAGTCAACGAGCAACATTGCGGAATAGTTTTACCTGGGTATCTACCATGACCAAGATTGGCTATTCTTTGGGATGTAATTACCCACACTATCATATTTTATGTGACAAGTAACTGTGATATGTCCATATTTGGGTGTAATATGACATCATAATGCCCTTGTCCGTATAAGGGCATATCACATACAATTTGATAATGTGGATGGAGATTCATACTCTAAAATGCTAAAGGATACTGAGATAGCTGAAATAATTGATACCTTTGCTTTCATGTGGTTTTTTTTTTTTTTTCCTTTTCCCATTGAAGTCCTTGAATGCATTAGAGATGCGTATGTTTATTAAACGCAAGCTGCCTAGTCCTCCTTTGTGTCGTCTGCTATCCTACTTGTGTCGTCTGCTATCCTACTTGTGTCGTCTGCTATCCTACTTGTGTCGTCTGCTATCCTACCTCATCCTGCAGAAAGTATTGAATTCTTTTCTCAAGTATTTTATTAATTTCTTCCTGCTTTCTTATAAAAAGAAAATTCCAATTTAGGCATTTTAGAATAGTTTTCGATTTGTAAATGGAAAGGTTTTACAAAAATGTTGCTTATTAAAAAATACCATAATTTAGTTATTTTCAACCTGTGTTGTTGTTTAACAGAAGCTTCATAATCGCAATGCAATGTTAAAAAAAATGCATAAATATGTTTGGTATGGTTAGGTTTGTATTTGATGTACCAACGATGAAATATATCCAACAATTTTTGCATAAAAGTATCAAGATTAACATTATAATATACAAATAATTAATTTTTTTTTAGAAGAATATTTTCATGAGTTAAAAGATGGACAGTTCCATTCAATGGGGCGCAGCTGAGTTAAATGGAACTGTCAATCTTTCAACGAATGAAAATATTCTTTCTATTGCGCAAATAAAAAACATTAATTATTTGTTTTTTAACAGACCTAAAATAGATTCTTTTCATTTGATATTTTATGAAAAAAAATATAATTTTTTTTGAATGGATATTCTTGTCATTTGATAACTTATTTTTTAAAAACCTACACTTTTTCTAAATCGAACAGTCCAGCATCTTTTTAACTAATCAAAAAATTGTATTAGGTTGCAGTCTGATCGTATCTAGGCACCATGCAATGGAGCGAAACAGATAGAACAAAAATTACATGGATGGAAGTAAAAATGCAAGGTGGAACTAAATGTCTATGATGAATGACGGAATGGGGTTAATAACCAATGTCGCGTGATATAAAATCCACCAATCAAATGACAAGGATCTATTTAAGTGTGTTATATATAATTGAGAATATTTTATCATTAGATCTTTAAGTAGCCAAACCATAATTTTGATCTTTGATTGAGACAAATATTCATCTAAATTATTTAATGGTTGTCTTATATTAAAATCGATTATTAATGTTTCAGAAGTGGATTTGCTAATAGCATGAAGCTGAGCTCTTCTCATATGGAGCGTATACACTTAAGTAAATAAGTGTAAACTTAAAACTGTGTTTAAATTTATCATCTACTCTTTGTAGTCCTGTATTGATATTTTTTGTCTTAGTCTGTACTGTAATCTTTAAAAAAAGAATTTAAATTCTGACCAGCATTTTATAATTGATTACAATACTTTGTAGTTTTGGGAATTTAACATTTTTTATCGAAATATGAAGTAAGTACTTTTGCCAGGTGCTGGCCAGAAGCTTCTTGACTATATCCATCAAATGGTGTTAAACGCATAAGAGTGCAAACATTTGCTAAACAGTGGACTTAAATTGTGATCAAATTATAGGTTTTTGTGAGATTATACGAACTGTTTACTAATACTGTACCTGTTTCATATGACAGAAGTGTACTAAATGTTGTAACAAATTGTACCGCGTATGTTTTTCCTGTCAATGATGTTCAGGTCGTGAGAATGCATATTCTAGTAAGAATACCAAAGCCTGGTTCTCATGAGAGACCTAGTATCCTGGTCGGGAGCTAACCGTTAACACCTGAGTGAGAATGCCCAATCGGTTAGCGCTAACACATTTACAATTTCCAGTTTCTTATTGGCCAGTGATTCAATCATCATATTCTTGGTATCTGGATCGGGATCTTCTTGCATGGACGCACGGCAGCTAACAGTTAGCTTAGTGTGAGAAAAAAATCAGACCTCACGTAGGCCTGTAAAGTTCCCAAGATATTTAGAAAGAATTTGAGTGCATGGTACCAGAGGGCAGCCTATCTTTCACTACGTTGTTGCACATATCTTCACTGTGTGTGTATACCGACTTTCAACAGGGTTTGTATTTAGTCATGTGAAAGCGCCATATCTCGGTAGGAGTGAACTTCCATAATAGATATTCCTGTTAATGTTTAGTACATTTCCTGTAGCATGAAACAGGTATAATTTTTGCTTTACAGCAAAAAACAGTTATGCAAATTTAGTAATTGGTTGACATTGGTTACAGTAGATTTTACTCGGTTGGAAGCACATTATTTATTCTAATTTAGAGCTAAATTTCATTCCTAAAGGTTGTGATTGTCTTTAGACACCCTCATTTGCATATTGAAATTATGCAAATGATTAGATTTCCAATTGATCATGCTCAACAGGTCGTGAGTATTATAGCAGAACTTTGTATTTATCAATAGTTTTGATGCACTTTTACAATTCAAGCAGGTGTCTCATTTGAATATGGAATTGATATGTAAATTATTAAGGCGTGAGTACAACGTAAACCTGTGTTTTCAAAATACATTAAAAAAAACAGACATTTTTCTTGCTTATTATTATGTTTTATATCTTTTTGAAACTTTGTTAAATAATGTTAATAAACACATTAGGGAGCTTTCGGTTGCACAGCGCGGTAGTTCGTACAACGTAATGTCATCACTAAGAAGTAATCTGCGCATGCGTGAACTTTAATTTCTCGTCGCGTGGATTTTAGGACGCAATTTGACCAAATATCTACGTTATGCAGAGAATGTAGGACAGATCACGCATAACTGAATCCGTTCTAGTGTCACATCGTCGCCCAAATCAAAAGCTCCTAAATATCATCAAATGTACAGAATATATTGAGGGGTTTTTTATCCATAAAATTTGATGTCCAACGCAAATGTGTCCATTTTTAAAGTGTAATAACAACAAAATGGCACATAAAAAACCATTGTAAAATTTGTTATCACGTTTAATCTTGACTTTTGCAATATAACATATTCTAATTTTCACCTCCTAATTAGTGTTAAAAATATTATTTTTGCTATTGTCTTATTACTGTTATAACTATTACTATCAAACAAAAATGTACTATTATTTTATTATTGTTAATAATAATAATAATATAACATAGTGTGGTGTGAGTAGCAAATCAGGTGACGGTAAGCAGGTAATTATTATTAGTCATAATTAAAATGAATTTCTTTTTATAAGAGTATTTTTAGTTGAGGATTGTATCTGTTTCTCACTCGCTTTTCCAACAAGCATATGTTCTGTTGCATTGGACAATAAATGTTGGTCTTAGATTGGATAAAAATATTAAGAATTGGCTCACAAAACCCAGGCACTAGAAAATTAGGCACAACATGTTCTACAAGGTTATTCGTACCTAGAATGTGGTATAAAAGAATGAAGCTTTCTGGGGTGTCTCTTAACTGATCAATCTGTGTTATATTTAGGACTGGAGGTGTCCAACAAACAGGCAAGCTTTCGGACGTTTACGTTGTGTTCTGGTACAAAATATAAAATTGAGGGCTTGGCAGAATGGCTTATTGGTGAATCTTGGAGGTACATAAGGCACCCCCCTCTCCCGCCCCGAAAAAGAAATCTTGCCACCACACTAGAAATGTTTGAAGCAAAGAAGTTATGCTGAAATGTTTAAAAATCATCTTATTTTGCGAGTTATCACTCCCTTCCCCACCCACCTGGCCACCCAGTTATTCATCAATTCCCCCACCACTTCGCATTTCCGCCCCCATCATCCCCCTTTCCCATTTCTAGACTCATAGGTACACTAATGTTGCAGACAGGCTATTGAACTTAATAATTTAATTTAATCTGCTCTAGATTTACGGTACAAACTTGTTGTAGTGCTAATTTCTGTGATACTAATTATTTATATAACTACTGTATTACCATATTTACTTTTATGATGTTGTGGTTTTTGTTTTATTTTTCATAATGTTTGTTGATAAATGCTAGGATATGAAACTATCGGCCAGAAAAAAAAAAAAAACTTAAACACCAGTAGGAAAAAATAGAAAAATAAACACTTTACCGTATTAGGAGGATGGTGTAGGAAACCGTAGTACTGTACCTCTATACATTTGACAATACACCTATTATGAAATGGTTTGTTCCATTTTTGTGGCGTTTATTCCTAGTAGTGTTTTGTCCTACTGTCCACCAGATTATGGGTCATGACATTGTTTAATTCCCTAGACTCCCATAATGTTATACTATCCAGAGGTACAATTGGGTGGGGTTTCTGAGTAAGCCATGAAACGTTGAAACGAAAATCGATGTTCGCAAAATTAGGTATTCATTAATATCCATAATCTATTAATAATTTGCATATTGTTTTTTATTTTGAAAATGATTCAAGATACTATGATTTTTCTATTTATTTTCAGATTATTTTCAATTATCTGTGATGAGTACTTGTCAATTTTAAGTACAGTAGTATTTAAACAGAATCTCGAATTGTTAATTGTGTTTTATCTAAGCTGACTCAATTGACAAATTATGCTGTTAATTTGAAATAAATGTTCCTGGATATTTCTATTTCCGTCTTCTGTATTTATTAATTCAACAACCAACGTAACTTTATTTCAATATGATAGCCCAGACACGGCAAAAATTTGTTCTTCCATTGGGCCGTTCATAAAATACAAACTGTTAAAAATACAATCATAATATTTGAAAAACAATCAACCGCGTTAAGATTGAGCAATACAAAATTTCATCATTGAAATCAGTTTATTTGAAAATAATAACATTGAATTAAATTTCTTAAGATTGTTATGTGTTGTTGGCTTTCCGCCGAGAGTGTATTCCACATAAACGCTCCTGTATATGAGATCATCTCTTGTTAAATTCGATGTTACTACATAAATGAATTTTAATTATAATATCATGGATATGACGACGAAGCTATATCTCTTTTACACATTGTCGAAACATACCATGCAAGTATCCTGGAAGGAAGTTAAAGTTATAGAGTTGCATACATAAGAATTGCAACATGGTCAACTAATATCAATTAACAAGGATTTGTATATGTGCTAATATACCCGGCACAGAATGCAGTGATAATCTTGTCTTTTGACATTATTGTAGAATATTTTTGAGTACTGTTTGACTGAGTGTAAATTCTGGCAGCGAGAGGAAGCTGGAAAGTTAAGGTTGAATAAATATGAACCCAAAGAAAACAAAGTTGAGAAATGCTCATAATTATGTCACCAGGAATCTAGGATCCGGTAGACACAGTTGAAAGATTCCAATATCTTGGAGCTGTTGTAACAAAAGAAATGGGAATTGGCGACATGAACAACAGAATCACCAAAGCTAAGGCTTCATATCATTAAACTTAAGAAGTGCATTGTACTACATGGAAGTGAAACGTGAAAAATTACAAAAGAAGAAAATGATATAAAATGTATTCCAAAATAGATGTCTGATGGACATCAAATAACAAATTAGAAGTTCTCATAAACGGAAGAATATTAGAACAGGTCAAAGCTCAATTCGATATCTTGTTGCAATACTAGATGTCAAACTAAGTTGGAATGAACACATTGCGCATTTGACCAATCACTAGGCTTCAAAGTTACATGCTTATGTAAACTTGGTAATGTTCTAAATCGAAACATTTTAGAAACTCTGTAGAAAACTACAATCCTACATTGTCTTGACTGGATGTTCAAATTAAATGTTTTTTCTGACCCCCAACACTGAAAATTTGCCAAAATTATGCCTATTTTCAATCAGCTATAGCTTCTTAGGATAACAGGTGACCCCCAATTTTCATTACATATTCTGAAAGCACTTGAGTTGTAGATATGATTTTATAGATCATTTTGGCTGACCGGACCTTTGTGACGTCATTATATCCGTCTGAATTCAATAAATGCGTATTTTGTCTACGACGTCATTTTCTAAAATAGGCATTTGAGCGTATCTCGCTCGGTATGTTATAGCTAAAACAATTTCTTTTTCGGAAGTGTGCCCTTCATTCTTCATTTTGATGACGTCATCATGGACAAAATGAATTATTTTTGGACCCCTCATGTTTCTTTCTTCAAATCTGTGCGACAGAGGGCGGCAGAATGTATTTCGATGCTATCAGACTGATATTATGACGGGAAAAATTCGTGTGGCACTACCGACTCTGTGAAATTCCAGACAGAGGACGGCAGACTGTATTTCGAGGCTATCAAATTGAATATACAGTACTTCATATGAAGTGAAAATTTGTGTGGCATTACCAACAGGCGTTTTTAATTAAATGACACTTGACAAGGTTCAATTTCGTGTGCCATTACCGTCAACATGCACGCCATGATGTGCACGTACGCGTGCGTAAAACTTAAAATTCTCAAAATTACTCTTTAGTTAGCGCATTTTAGGACATTTTGAGCGTTCATAATTTTTTCATTTCGCGTCGCAAGTGTCAAAGTTCAAATGTCCAGCGGATCACCACCTAACTCGTTATCAGTGACGAGTTCAAGTCTAGTTATTATTATTATTATTATTATTAGGCCTATTATTATTATTATTATTATTATTATTATTATTATTATTATGTTTGTAATGCGGACTTTATTTCATAAGACTATTCAGAAGAACATGATCCGTCCGTAGAAAATATGCTACCCTTTTGCCCATGTAGGCTAGTTTAAATTTTCCTAGTAAAGTATGTAATTCCTATGCCGACTCAATTCATATTTATTTTACTGCTTCATTTTTTTAATACTGACATAAGACTTTAAATGTGAGGCTTGTAACCAGATCATATAAGTACCAGGTCATATAAGATGGAATAACTTCTGTGCTGCAAGTAATTTTGACTTCGATGCTCAGTGAAGCTTTTATTATTTATGGCTGCGTTCACACTTGTTGTTATTACACTTTCATTACAATTAATACAATAGTAGAAATACAAGTATTTCAGCACAGTTACATTTTATTTAAATATAACTAGCGATTTGAAAGACTAAAATAAAAATGTTGATACATTTGAATTGATGTGTCATAGACCTATCATATTTATAATAGTTATTTCTTATTTTGTTTCAACTTATTAAATTCAATAATACTGATTTTGTTCCTAGACATCTTCCAACAACCAAATATACTACAGTGGAAGATACACCGAACAACAAACGACTTGTTGATAACACAAACAAACAGAGTAATGTAAGCATATACCAAGTTTTAAAGAAAACCAATATAACTAGAACATACATTTCCTCAAGGAAGGTTTTCGAGCATTGCACTGTGTTTCGATTGTACACTGCAACAAGAAATGTATATGTGTGGCATTGACCTGCCCCCCCCCCCACTTTCATCAACATGTCAATTTTATTCAAATTTTTGTTACATTTTGTCTTCTGGATCTAGTTATTGTTGTAGTATGGAGGGCTAACATTGCCCATTTCTCATTTGAAATACCTACGTTCGGGGTGCGATTGATAATTAATGAGTGATTGTGATTTTTTTTTAGATGTCTGTTGAACAGACTTTCTGTTAATGATTGATGAGGCCCAATAGTACGGGAAACACGATTTACCACTCTTTCCAGTCGTTTTTTATTCTTCTCCGAAGTTTCATAACCACACTAAAAACGATACCTTTCAGGACACTCTCCATCACCGATCTAGAAAAACTTCCCAAAATGATCTAAGTCTGCGCAAGAAAAACGGGCGCTGTTGTCCTTTCATTTATATATCATCTGGGGCGAATGCAGGATTTGGCAGTAGGGGGTGCGTGCAAAAATGTAATGAATAGTACCTGTAGATGGCCGGAAATGACAATTTTATACAGTAAGATTCATCATCACATCACCATTATATAGTCAAAAGTATCAGCGATTTTCGGCAACCACATGTACAGAGATCTAATTTGTATGTGAATGTACACATAAAACTGTATACTTAGATGGCCGGAAATAACACTTTTATACTGTACAGTAAAATTCACAATTATCACACCATCATTATTAGTCTAGATGAAGCGCCAGAAAATTTCTTATGATCTTTAATCAGGGATTTTTGGCAACAACAGAGAACTTATTAATACGAGTGATGAACCATAGAAAATATAACTAAAGAAATACTTTCTTTGATGTATTTAATATCTGTCTCTTATACACATCTAGATGTGTATAAGAGACAGCGTTGAAACGAAAATCGATGTTCGCAAAATTAGGTATTCATTAATATCCATAATCTATTAATAATTTGCATATTGTTTTTTATTTTGAAAATGATTCAAGATACTATGATTTTTCTATTTATTTTCAGATTATTTTCAATTATCTGTGATGAGTACTTGTCAATTTTAAGTACAGTAGTATTTAAACAGAATCTCGAATTGTTAATTGTGTTTTATCTAAGCTGACTCAATTGACAAATTATGCTGTTAATTTGAAATAAATGTTCCTGGATATTTCTATTTCCGTCTTCTGTATTTATTAATTCAACAACCAACGTAACTTTATTTCAATATGATAGCCCAGACACGGCAAAAATTTGTTCTTCCATTGGGCCGTTCATAAAATACAAACTGTTAAAAATACAATCATAATATTTGAAAAACAATCAACCGCGTTAAGATTGAGCAATACAAAATTTCATCATTGAAATCAGTTTATTTGAAAATAATAACATTGAATTAAATTTCTTAAGATTGTTATGTTTTGTTGGCTTTCCGCCGAGAGTGTATTCCACATAAACGCTCCTGTATATGAGATCATCTCTTGTTAAATTCCTGTCTCTTATACACATCTTGTGGTGTGAGTAGCAAATTGTAATGCGGACTTTATTTCATAAGACTATTCAGAAGAACATGATCCGTCCGTAGAAAATATGCTACCCTTTTACCCATATAGGCTAATTTAAAATTTCCTAGTAAAGTATATAATTCCTATGCCGACTCAATTCATATTTATTTTACTGTTTCATTTACTGTTTCACATCTTCCCACAACCAAATATACTACAGTGGAAGATACACCGAACAACAAACGACTTGTTGATAACACAAAGAAACAGAGTAATGTAAGCATATTTAAAGAAAACCAATATAACTAGAACATACATTATTCCTCAATGAAGGTTTTCGAGCATTGCACTGTGTTTCGATTGTACACTGCAACAAGAAATGTATATGTGTGGCATTGACCCCCCCCCCCCCACTTTCATCAACATGTCAATTTTATTCAAATTTTTGTTACATTTTTTCTTCTGGATCTAGTTACTGTTGTAGTATGGAGGGCTAACATTGCCCATTTCTCATTTGAAATACCTACGTTCGGGGTGCGATTGATAATTAATGAGTGATTGTGATTTTTTTTTTTTTTAGATGTCTGTTGAACAGACTTTCTGTTAATGATTGATGAGGCCCAATAGTACGGGAAACACGATTTACCACTCTTTCCAGTCGTTCTTTATTCTTCTCCGAAGTTTCATAACCACACTAAAAACGATACATTTCAGGACACTCTCCATCACCGATCTAGAAAAACTTCCCAAAATGATCTAAGTCTGCGCAAGAAAAACAGGCGCTGTTGTCCTTTCATTTATATATCATCTGGGGCGGATGCAGGATTTAGCAGTAGGGGGTGCGTGCAAAAATGTAATGAATAGTACCTGTAGATGGCCGGAAATGACAATTTTATACAGTAAGATTCATCATCACATCACCATTGTATAGTCAAAAGTATCAGCGATTTTCGGCAACCACAGAGATCTAATTTGTATGTGAATGTACACATAAAACTGTACACTTAGATGGCCGGAAATAACACTTTTATACTGTACAGTAAAATTCACAATTATCACACCATCATTATTAGTCTAGATGAAGCGCCAGAAAATTTCTTATGATCTTTAATCAGGGAATTTTGGCAACAACAGAGAACTTATTAATACGAGTGATGAACCATAGAAAATATAACTAAAGAAATACTTTCTTTGATGTATTTAATATATTCGACCTACCTCAAAGCCGTGCGGCCAATCATGGTTGTGGGGCTGAGAGGGAGAAAATTTGTGGAAATAGTACCTCAAGATGGCCGGAAATGACACTTTTAAATAGTAAAATTCGTCATTATCACATCACCACAATATAGTTAAAATGAATCGCCAACAAATTCTCATGATCTTTTATCAGCCATTTTCGGCAACCATAGAGATCTATTGGTATGTGATGTACGTTACCATAGAAATTAAAACTTTGTCTTTGATGTATATAGGCCTACTTCAAATTTGGGGAAATTGTACCTCTAGATTGCCGGACATGACACATAGTAAAATTTATCATCATCGATCTAATTAATCGCTGTGATGTACCATAGAAAATAGGCTACTACTCCCGTGTGCCGAAACCCAATCTTATCTTTGCACGCTTTTCTCATACTTCTCAAATTATAATAAAGGCACGCGCACTCGACTCGAGTATTATAGGCCTAGGTAATTCAGATGTTTGTGGGCAGAGATACAGGTATCTTGCTATAAAATAAGATGTAGGCCTTCTCTAGCTGTCTAGGCTATAACAGCGCTCTTTCATTAAAACCTGGGTCATTTATGCACTTATGTCAACAATTTTCAGGCATATCTTGCTCACGAAAAGTGAGGGGACCAACCCTTCCTCTTAAAAATATGAGGGGACGTTTAAAGGGGTGGCACCAGCGGGGGGGGGAGAAAGTTCCCCCCCCCCCACTCTTCGGGGAGAGAAACCGCAATTCGTCGGAGAGAAAAAATTATAAGTAGGCCTATTTTGTACATAGGCATATTAGTAGACTCTAAAATCGATTAAAATAGCCTTTGTCAAAATTCCGAAGCCCCTAGACCACTTTCGAGGCATTTAAAGCGAGCTCGGCCACGCCCACTTCCGTCGGGGACATTTTTCCCCTCGTCAGGGACATCAGCCACCCCGTCGGGAGTGCATTTTTTACTATCTTTTGGTCTAGTTATGCCTGTTCGACTTCCGACTCACTTTGGGTTTTATTGTTGTTCCTCTACTACTGCTGTAGTGCGTGACCAATCGAGAAGGCGGAAACCAAACCCACTTTTTATAGCAAACTACGTAGTACTTTTGAAGAAGCCAGGCAGAGCGAACATTGTAGGGTCTCTTCGGAACTAACTGAAGTTTATTGTCTCTGAAGTGCGTTTACTTTGCAGTTTTATTCAAAATGAACCCACCATGTGCTAGGTGTAATAAAACTGTATATCCTATGGAGAAAATGTCTGTGTTAGACAAGGTAGGTCCTTGATGATGAGTATAATTGTCTTTTCTGCCTTGATGGGCAGGGCAGGCGTCGTCGCCTCCGCCATCCGAAATACTGAATTACGTCCTGTGTGAGCTACCTAATGAGTAATATGGAATTAAGAATATAATAGCTCTTTTTCTACCAACCTAGGCCGTGCCTAGGCATATAACGTTTTCAAATAATCACCATTTAATCTATTTATCGTTTGAACGTATATTCTATGCTTCATTTGTGCCTTATTATTAATGTAAGCTTAAGCTCGACAGCCAGTTCAGTGTTTTAGAAGCCTAGGCTAGGGCATTAGCAGGAAGTGAAAACCTTTCATTCCATCGATTGACCTCGGAGTGTGTAGACTAGACCACCACCTTTAGGATCGGGAAAGACTACTTAGGGCGGTGACTAAAGCAGTCGCTTATAACGAAGCGGAAAAAATGGAAAGTGTGTACACCCAAATCCGAAGTAAATAATACAATTATTATTGTTATTGTTAGGATATAATAATATACAGCGAACACTTCGTAGGGCGTGGCTCACCAGACTTTATTAAACAAATACTTTACTTAGACTACAGTGTGATACAATCATTGCTCATGCTTGTCTTGGCTAGGCCTACAGTACTTCCTGTAATATAGGACAGTAGTCGTAGAATCCTTTTTTTTTATTTTCCGAGGCTTTTAATTAGGATTAGATCCTTTTAAACCAAAAAGGTGGGGACAGATTCTCCTGAATAAAATAGTTACGTGGAATCGTAATTGCTGCATAATTGCATTGATAATATATTAAGATTTGGTCAAAGCCTAGTTTTCGACAAAATCTGCATGGCAGTCGGCTTTTATTTTGTACATTATGCTCGCACCTTGGTTGTAGCTGAGATGAGCACATTTTGGCCAGATTTCCCCCACGAAAGCAAAGTGGGTCGAGCTTCAATTAATAGGTTCCAAAAGTGGTCCCGAAAATTTTGACAATTCAGGGGTTTCAAAGGCTTATTAGATCGATATTAGAGTCCGCGCCCCCCCCCCCCC